TAGTCCCTGCTTGAGCTGCGGTGTAGATGTGCTTGTCTCCATCTCTCACACTCATGCATACGTCCATGCCCATGGTAAGCCATGGATCCTGTTGATCTGTTTCCTGACCCATGAACTGATTTTCTGGGTTAATCTCAGACCTGTCTCATCTCTATGGACCAGCCTGGTGATCAGTGTCTGTATGTGACCTTGGTTGCCATCACAGGACCTGATCCTGACCTAAGGATTGACTCCACAGCTTGACATAGGACCTGCCTTGTCAGGATGAAAATCTGGGCTCTTGGTTGATCCTGACTGCTAGCCCCATGAACATACCATTAGACAACATGGGAGATCCCTGCAGTCAGTTGTCCCAGTTGTGTTACCTCCCAGCATCTTGTCCACCCCCAGCAGTCAGAAACAAATGCTAAATGTTGGAGCTAAAACGTTGATGTGTTATCAACATTGTTTTGGTCACTGGGCTAAGCTCCAGCACTATATGGGCTGCTGTGAAGAAAATTGACTCCTTGATGGTGCCCCTTGGTTGTAATACCTGATTCTGGTGGCTGTTTTCTACTTTTGATGGAGGTTTTACCTCCCATGGGAGCTACAGCTTCCAGGTGAATTTTGGGGAGAGTTTAACTGTATATGGTTGTCATTAAGCAATTCCTGAGTTCTTGGAAAAGAAAAGCTCAGCACTGAATGTTTCTGGAGCTGCTGTGAACACTCCCTGGTACGATAGAGAAGGAATGGATGAATCATTGCTTTCTGTCAAGTGAAGTCCATCTGGTTATGCTGTCCCCCTCACTATTTTAAACTCTACCGGTTGTGTGATGACAGTATGACAGACGCAGGCTCTCAAGGGGACTAGAGACACTCATGCCCACCAGGTTTGGAGTACTTATTGTTCTGCTTAGTGCTTTGACAAAGCATGTGCACTGAAACAAAGACATAGAAATGAGGCAAAATCAGAAAGATAAATATACAGAACTTCTGTGATGCAAAGTAGTGTGAGAAGACTGCAGAAGGACTGCTTAGAGTAGAAAAACATATTCCAAAATACTTTCACTTGCAGCTTTTCTTTTTTCACACTGATTCCTCATGAGGTATCTTTGGTCCACTTCTCTGATTTCTGCAGCCTCACCAGTTAATGTGAAAGAATTATATTACAAGGATATTGGGATGTTTTGTTTAGCTAAGAAAAATTAATAATGAAGTAAGCACGCAGGTAAGCGCTTCCTACTAGCTACCTGTTTTCCACTTTGCCTGGGTCAGGGCTCTGCCTGCACACCCTTGTGTCTGGCTGTCATTCCACTTCGTTGAACAGAGTCAGACTCATAAAGCTCACTCAGCAGCAGCACAGTGTCACCAGTTATCTTAATCTCTTAAGTTTCGGTTTCCGCATACAGAAACTGAATAAGAGTCTCAATGAAGTCTGATGATGCTGTGCAACCTGCAGAGGAATGGAAAGCAAAGGTGCTGTGAGAGATAAAAGAACCAAGGGTAGGTGTGCTTATCAATCAGAGTTGCAAAGTCCTATGCTGCTAAGGAGGTGTATTTGTGTATCTACAAGCCTTTTTTTATATGCTTTATTGCATTTTTGTGCATACATAAATTTCTGTAAATATCTTTGTGAGTGTGTATTCATACATATAGATTCATACATAGAGACGCATTTTAGACTTTTTTATATGTGAAGTTCATGGAGTAAATCTTAAAACACTTTGTGTGTGGTTTTTTTTCCATAAAAAATATAGATATCTACTGAGAAAACTCCGTTAAAATCAAACAAGCATGCAGTGGATTTTCCTTTTACTGTCAAATGTACCAGCAGCAGAACACTTGAACTAACACAGGATTTACCATTTCAAATTAAGACCAGGAGGCAGCCTGTAACTGAGATTAAGACCTAAGTCTCTGTGGCATAAGCCCCAGGCTTTTAGTCACGTTTAAATTCTGTCTTCCTCTTTGCTTCCAAACTTCCACTGAGTGATTCTCACCTCTTTGCAACAGATCATTCAGCTAGAGAATAGAAAGCTGAGTATCTGTAAAATTCTCAGAGATTTGCAAATTGGGATCTGGGCTGATTCAAACCTTGTCCGTTTTTGTCTTCTTTGATGTTTGACCTCACTTTCCTTCCTCTGTGCTCCTCTTTCTTCTAACCTGTCTGTCTTCCCTAATTTCTTCCATATGTTTCCATTTCTAGGACTTTACCTCAGCCCGAATTTGTTACTAGACGTGCTTCTTGGATTTCAGGTGTCACATAAACCAAAAGACATTTGAGAAAAAATACAAACTATGTGACTGTTCTTTCGAGACACAGGTGACTCAGCGAGATAAGTTAGGGCAGTAGTACATCAGTAGACACCACCTCTGTAATACATCACAGCTGCAGAACTGTTATGCTGCTGTTTCGTGGGAGACATCTGTAGGGAGTTAGTTCCCTGTTTCTCTGTCCCCCTCTCTATCATTCAGTGCATATCTCAGAGGTCCTCTGCAAAGTGTTCTGAAGAAAATGTGAAGCTTCTAGATTATTATCCACGGTGAATCTGGTCAAATGTATATGACATGACTCTAATACCAAAGGGAATATTCTCATGAAGGTCTAAGGAACCTGATGGCTAAAGGAATCATGAGTGAGTGTATGTCCACCATTCTGTGTGCCCTTTGCTATGTATGTTCCTCCAAAATGCATTTAGGTTCATGAGGCATGCATATGAGGGTGCTGGTTCCTTAAAAAAACCCCAAACATTTGCTGGAGTGGGTGAGATATATTCAGATGTTACCAACAGCTCTGCATCACAAATCACCTTCACATTTATCTCTAACATTACCTTCTGTAAGCAACTTCTGTAAGGGGACGTAATTGTGAGAAGTAGAATAAAAAATTTTTCATAGCTGTTTGAGTAATATGAGGTCTCACCTATACATATGACCATTGATACAGGCACATAGCAATTTAAAGGTGTACTGGATTACTGCTGTTTGCCCATAAAGACCAAGAAACAGGTTTTTCCCACCCAGATATATGATCTGAGGCCATCATCCTCCTCTGACTCACTGAAGTCTTTTCCCTGTAAACAGAATGTACAAGTTCTTCTAGACGTATGAAAATTCTCTTGTGTGGTAACCTTGTCTTTCTGATTTTCTTAAGGTTAAACCAGCAACTGAATTACAAAGGGATTTCTCTCCTCATATTAGACTGGCAGGAATGACAGAACAACATTTCCTTTTTAAGTTTTTTTTTTCCTTTTGGTTTTCCACCATTTCATAGAACACACTCAGCTTCCTGGAGATACCTGAAAATGTTGTGTTGCTAATTTCCTGCTTCTGTTTGGACTCATTTTTCTCTCCCTGCTTTCTGTGGCATGTTCTGGTTTTATATCAAGAACTACTGCTGCTAATCAAGCCATTTCTCGCAGATCAGAGCAATCATCTTGAAGCCTTATTTACATCTGCATATTTGTAAATACCTACTGCAGGGAGAAGGCAATGAAGAGAGTACTACAATAGCAATGCATTCCTGGTGTTACTGAGAAACATGTCTATGAACTCAGAACTACATTAGTCAATCACTTTTTTGCTTCAAGAATCTCTGAGTGTCTGAGTCGATCCCATTCACTCTCCCTAAGGTATGAAATAATACAACCAATAGGGAACAATTCTGTGTCGTGAAATGAGGGGTGACCTTGCAGCAGAAGAGGCCCTGAAGGTAGACTCTGTGTTGGCACTGCAGTGCCTGATAACCTGCCATGACTAGTCTTCTCCTTCAGGAGAGTCCTGACAATGCCTGAATCCCTACTCCCTCTGAACTCCACCATTCATCTATGCTTATGTTTCATCTGCCCTGGCAGGAAACTGAACAATTGTTTACAATAGAATACTGAGAGCTGGCTGCAGAGAATACAAATAAATCACTCCCCTAGCTTTACAATCCCAAGTCAGATTTGGCATTGAAGAAGGCAATGGCTTTATCCTCAGGGAGTGCACATTACTGGATGAACTCACCAGGGATCCATTTCTACGGCTTGCATCAGGGCCACAAAATAATTGTGTCACAAAACCGGAGAAAACTGTAAGTGACAGAGACTGATTCTACCTAAGCTATATGAAGAATTCTTTTGTAATCCCTTTCCTCTGCAAGCCAGTTTTGGGTCAGTCAGAGGAAATTTCACTGGAAACTAGCATTGTTTCACTCATTTTTCAGATGAGTACATATGAGCACAGAGCTCTTCTCAGGTGTGACATTTCAAAAATGTCTTGGTGTTCCCTCACAAAAAGCTGTTAACTGCTGAAGCTCTCTTGGATGATAGGCAGCTTGCATCAAGTTCACCTGAGAGTGTCTGCACAGTCACTGACCACAGCTCAGTGGTCACACACATTGAGGGTCTTCTTTGTTTACGTGAGGACCTAGGTTCAAGGGTGTATGAGTGGTCCTTGGAACTCCACAGGAGTAGTCCCATAAAGTGAAATGGCAGCAACCACCATCACCTGCTGGAGTTCCGCAGACTCACAGGGTTTTGCCCATGATGTCATCTGTCTCTCTCTCTCCATTGGGTTCTGCTCAACTTTCTGATATATCTGGGTGTCAGAAAAGTTATCTGCCATTCCACAGCTATGTGTCTTGATGCCATTTGTGTAAATGCTTTTCTCTCGGTGCATTGGGGTGACTAGAGAAGATTCGCTTTTCTGTTCTGGAGCTAAAGGTAATAAAGAGATGTAATTTCTGTCTGCACTGCAAAATAAAAAAAAAAGTCTCACCTGTTAATTCCAGCTTCTGGAAGGTAACCTTGTATTCAGGGCCAGATCCATTTCTGAATGGCAGCACCCTCATTTACAGTCTTTTGCTGCCAGGAATTTGCTTTCAGCTTCAGCCAGTGGGGTAGTGCAAATAAGCATAAGAAAAAGTCACCACAAGAAACATTCAGCTGAGTAACATTAGAGACGCCCAAAGTTCAGCATTCGGGAATAGAAACTGAAACAAACATAAGGCTAATAAAGGTACATCCATTGGCCAAGAGGTGACACACAAAACCAGAAATATCCATGGCTGCGGTCAGTGGCAGAGGTAAGTAAATTTATGTGAAATGTAGGCCTATTTCTCCATATTCAAGTGTAGATATTTACTGTAATTGTATCTAAGAAACTGGAGAGTAGGGAAAAATGTGTTGTGTTGGCACATGAGGATACACAGGAGACACTTGTGGATATGTGTATTATCTCTTTGAATGCATTATCGTATATTAAGTCTTAGGTCCAGCTTCAAAATATTAATATAATTTTGTTAACCTTAATGTGGAAGAAAGTATTCAAAATCCAAAAGAACTTTTAATGTGAAAGAGATCTGAAAAGCAATTAAGAATGGAGCAAATTAGTTAGCTTATCTATTTACTTATTTTATTTTCATTGTGATAAACAACTAGAATATTCTTCTTAAAGAATCAGGGCAACACGGCTGTGCTAAGAGTTGATCATGTCTCTGTTGATGTGGAATACTATTTTATTTCTACTGAAATGCAATTTGACTCCATATATTTCATAATTTCTCATCTTAAAGAGCTAAGCTGTGGAAAAAGTGCCTTTAGTATCTTAATTCTAAGTGAATTATTTTTATTATATTATATATTATATGTAAAATAAAAATTAATTAATTTAAATTTTAATTCTATATAAAATTTATGTATAAATTTGTAAAGGGAAATAAATTTCAATTAATTAATCTATTAAATAAAATTACGGTTCCTTGATCCTTAATTTCACTATAGATGGATTTTTACAAAATAAATAGGTAGCTTTGTTCACCTGCAAGTGATCAAGTGTTTTTCTCCACACTCTCAGCTGGGAAGGGATCAATGAGTCGTGGGGTCAAACTTGCCTGCTACCATGAGAGACAAAGTGTATATAATCAGGCAGGTCTGTGGTGCTCCCCCTTGGGTATTTGTTAGTCAGAAATCATCCTCCTTTCTGCACTATATTTTTTCCTTGGCACTGATATTTTTCTAGCTTTTGAAACGGTTTCATAATAAGTAAGGAAGGGATTGTTGGTTGCAAAAATGTTTTTGTGTAGACTGACATTATGAGTTACAATAGGAAAATAGCTGAAGTTTTGCCTGCCTGGTATAAGTGGTTTGGAAGATTTAAAGGGATAAGAGATTTGATTCCGCTCTTTGATTAGTCAGAGAAAAACAGATGCAGTACTGCTGAAAACAGTGAAGTTAAAACTCGAGTATTTACACAATCAACCCTAATGTGTTAAATTGAGCAAGGGTTCAGGTAGAGTATAGTTTAAACAGCCATCAAGTTCAACTCCCAGGTAGGAATCCACCCCTCCTGCATTCCAGAGTGCTTATTCTGCTGTGCAGACATTACTTATTAAGTCCTTTTAGAGAAAAGAGATTTGGCAGGGAGTGTATAGATTGAAAGGGGTCTGGAGAGAAAGTACAGAGGAAATTTTGTTTTCTGATCTGCTATCCTCAATGACTTACAAATCTTTTCCATATAGATCCTGCACCCAGAAAGAAAAACCAAGGGTAAGAGATGTCATCTATCACTGTGTGCTATTTGAACTCCATGGTGATTTCCAGAGACAGCCTTGTGCCTTGTTTTCCTCTTAACATCCCTTTCCCCAATCTCCCTTTTCCGTTTTCTTACTGCTTTGATTGGTGCTGATCCCTGAGTGGTGATGGGGCTGCTTATGCACCCAACAGTTCTCAAGAAAGTGCTGTGGGTGTTCTGGAGTCTTCATCAAGTTCCAGATTTAGATCATTAGATTGCGACGTTCTTCATGCTGCTCATTTGTGATGGGAAAGGCTGAAAGTGGGAGGCCTGACTGATGCTGAGAGCAGGCAATGCACAACAGGTCCAAACATCGCTGAAGAGCTGGGATCACAGTACTGCTGGTACTTCTGTTGCAGGTGGAAGATAAAGCCAAAAGACTTCAAAAGAAATTATTTACCTGACCGACATTCACGGGTGGTGTACCTGCTCTATGAAATCAGGTGGAGAAATGGTTCTATCTGGAGGAACTGGTTTTCAAACAATCGTAGCCAACATGCTGAAGTCAACTTCTTGGAAAATTGTTTCAGTGATGTGCCACCAGCTCCTTGTTCCATCACCTGGTTCCTTTCAACTAGTCCTTGTGGAAAATGCTCCGAGAGAATTCTGGAGTTCCTGAGGACACATCGTAATGTGACCTTGGAAATATACACAGCCAAGCTGTTCAGGCACCTGGATATGCGCAACCGGCAAGGTCTCTGCAACCTGGTGATGAATGGAGTTGCTATACGTATCATGAATCTTCCAGGTAACCCAAGTGCTCTTTGGCAGTTTTGTCTAGGTGTGGATTGAAAGTTTTGGGACTATGTGCACTCTCAGTTTGTAATAGAGGTGATGACTGGCATTGTGGAGGACTAGTGAGTGCAAAAATGTCACTCTGTTCTGCCTTATTTTTTCCCCAGTCCTATACAGCAGCAGGACTGACCTGGTCATTTCCTCTTGCCAAATCTGAACATGGAGAGTTAGGGCTTTCTCTAGCCATCCACACCTCCCTTATATGCAGTGAAAAATCCTGGTCTTAAGACAGAACCTGTCCCTCCTAGCATATATATGCAGATCAGCTTGCCAGCTGCAGCCAGTAATTGCTTTCCCTTAATAGAGACTTTCAGATGATGCATCACAGAGAACATGTCTTGCACGTGTGCCTTTTTGTGTGTATATCTTGCTTGCCTGTTGATGTTTGGCTGTACAAATAGTCCAGACAAGCAGCTCACAGAAAGGAATGTACATTTGGAGAGATGAACCTCACACACCAGTCTGGACACTTACTACTGGAGTGTGCAGCTATTAAATCCACCAGGTCTAATGCATTCTTAAAGGACATTGCTTATCTTGTGGAACCTATCTCTGGGATTATACCACCAGAGCACTGACAGAAGCTCTGGCCACCCTATCAACACCAAGATCATTCTGAAGCTGATAAATGTTGGAGTGTTCACTCCAGGTTTTCCCTGATCATTGAGATAAGTCAGGCAAATTCATGATTGAAGCAACGTGTCTTACCAAAGCTGTGTGATCAAGCACAAGGCTGCCAAAAGATATGCCTGACAAGCTCTGACTTGCATGTGCCACTTCCCTTTCCAGACGTTCCCCTTGCTGATTCCTTCTCTCTTGGCAAATGTGCTCTGGCTTTATGCCTTGATGTGCTATTCTTGATAGGGGCTGTCCTAGCCACCACAGTGATTTCTCTCTCTGGCTTTTCTTTTTTAGACATATTTCTGGTTTTGGAGTTTTGGTTCCCCTTTCCACTAACTTACTTGCGTATTTAATTGTGTAATCCCTTGCATGAATATCTTTCTCCTGCCCTTTACTGTAGTCTTACTGAAAAACAAGTGACAAACTGACATGTTAATGAAGAAAGAGCTGGGCATCTTTTCATCAAGAGTGACTGGATATCTCTCTTCCTAGATTACAGGTACTGCTGGAAAAGATTTGTTGCATACCAACATGGAGAAGATGATTATTGGCCCCAGAACTTCGCTGCATACATCTTTCTGAATTGGAGAGAGCTTGGTCATATCTTTTTGGTTAGTAGACACCTGAAGAACACACTGAGAGCAAAAATTAATGCAAAATCCCAAGAAAAGGAGGTTTGGCAATGGTGTTAGCAGAAACGATAGTATTAAAAATAAGCATGGGCTTGATGCTGCATAAGTAGAGGGCCCAGCAACAAGAGACTGTCGAGGACTACGCCGCTACACTGTGCCTATGTGACCAGGAGTAGAGAAGAGATTTAGCAGTACTCTCAGGTTTTTTACTAAGGAAAGGGTACATGATTTCAACCCTTTACATGAACCAGCTGCCAATTAATTAGCTTGCAGCTTGCTGGAGCTATTTGACCCCAAAAGCTTCTTCAGCTGTGTAATCATGATTCAAACACTCTCTTTTTGCTTCTCGGGATAGGGCCACTGATTTTAGCTAAGTTCTGAGCAAATTTAAAAGCCTGGATTAGTGGATTTGCTTTCAGGATCAGAGTTTATATATAAGAGTATCATGTGACTGAGATCCACATTCCCTGTTTTTTGTAATCCATACAACTGCAGAAGTTATTTGTACAGCCTGATATCCTACTATCTAAGAAAGAGAAGGTGGTCTATTGAACAGGTCTGTTGAACTCCAGTCCTAGTCTTCTAGGACTCACCCACTTCCTGGCTCACCCACTCTTTGTGGAGCAAGCCAGTTCTTGCTTTAACTGGTCCCTCTATACAGAATGGATGGCAGGAGATGGAGGAAGGGATGCACACAACTGCATTATACAGGCAGGAACTTACAGTCACACACACAAAACTAACCTCTATGTAGGATGCTATAAGCATCTGAGGACGCTATAAACTTCCTGACTGAAGAAAAAGTACACTTTAGACTTCATTTCAATTCCATCCACCCCAAACTTTACATAGGACTTTTAATACCTCAAGACATGACCTTTATAATTCTTGTCTGAATAAGAGACATTCAGGTGACAGGATACACACTCAGTGGCAATAGCCAGTCAATCATCTGATCTAACAAAGTAGTTAATGCAATGTAATGGTTTAGGAGACCTTTTTTCCTTGGCTTTCAGTCTTTCTGAGTCTCCTAATGCCTGAGATGATTAAATAATTTAGCATTTTATGCACAATCAAATGCATAGTGTGATGCTTACCAGGGAGCTGAACAAAGCTCTCTGCTAAATGCTTGTGAGTACTGACAAACTACAGCTGACTCAGCACAGTTCCCTGTGCAGCAGTAGAAGGTGAACATGCCCTTCAAGTCCAGGTTTTAAAGAGTCAGCTAACAAATTACCTGTCCCTCCCATGCAAGCCTTGTTGATTACTGGCCAGTCCTGGTGGCTAGGGAGTTTGCACTGGGACACATGCTCAAAGTCGGGCACTCTCTCAACTGCTTTGCTGTCTCAGGAAAATACAAGCCACCCCTAAAATGAAGGTGAATACAGCCCATTATCAGTAGTTCTGCTAACTACCAACCCTCCACAGAAGGAATGGGAAAGTCTATGTGTCCAGCCCTTTTGAAAATCCAACCCTGTTTTACTAATTATGCCGAGGTGTAATGAGGTGAGCAAGTTCGGGGCACGTGCTCCAGAGAAGCACAGATTGTTGTGTGAAGTCCTGGCCTCCCTGGCAGAAGAAGGACACTGAGGAACCAGAGAGGGTTTGATTGAATACCCCTTCAAAGGGCAGGAGGCTGGAGCACTTGCCCTACGAAGAGAGACTGAGGGAACTGGTTTTGCCAGACGTAAAGAAAAGAAGGCTAAGTGGGATCTAACTGCAGTTTTCCACTACATAAAGATAGTAAAAACGTAGCTAAACTCTCCTCAAAGATGCACAGAGGAAATATGAGGTAACATGCACAAGCTGCAACAAGGGAAATTCCAACTGGATAGAAGGAAAAAGTCTCCCCTGAGAAAGGTGCTGTACTGGAACCCAGAGAGGCTGGCAGACGTCCTTCCCTGGAGACACTGAGAGCTTTCCTTTGGGCTGCCAGATCCAGCTTTGGAGTTAGCCATGATGGAAATATGCTGTTGGACTAGAGACCTTAGGAGGGCCTTTCTAACCCCTGAAAAATCTGTCTTTTCACAGGAGCTAGCTCCATTTCCCCTGGATTCAACTATGCAATCTGCCACCTTTTAAATGCTTCTGTTTCTAAATGGTCTGTCTTTCTAGGAGGGGTGTACATGGCACAGTAAATTATGAGGTGCTACCCTGTTGCCTGGAAAACTATATCCCAAAGGAGATTATCTAAAATACTGAAGGAAGATCAGGGTGATTGATTTCTTGGACTAGATACTTCATTTTCAAATTCTGTATCATGTTGAAGAGACAACTTAAGCTTTTGGCATCTGATTTTTAATGTTCAAGTTTCTTTCTTCCTGCTAGGGTCTTCCTCCGTTGCTGCCATACTGAATACTAATAAGCATCACCACCATGCTTTCAAGCTTGTTTTGTGCATCAATAACAGACCAGAAAAGCCACTACCTAGCAATCATTTCTGCTGCAGCCTTGATGAGTTTCATCCTGCCACCAGAGAAGGCTCTTATCACTGTCTGGAGATTGTTAAGTACTGGACAGAGCAGAAGGAGCACATGAGAAGCCATCAGGAAGTTCAGATGACATGGCCAGGCATCCAGGACACAGTTCTCTGGGTCTTTATAAGGCTTCCTGAGAGTCCAGTGGGGATGGAGACCATGCCCCGTAATCAGGTATTTCACATCTGCTGATTCTGCAGTCAGATTCTGCGAGAACCCTCTTGAGATGCCAGCAAGCAACATTTTTCATGGATACGTGTTTGTATGGTTCTGCAAATGTTTCAGGCTATTACAGTATTTATGCAATTCTGTAATAATATCTCACTTTAAGTTTTTATTCTTCCTACATTTATGACTGTAAAACCAATAGAATAAAAGGAAAAAATATCAGCCCTATGGAAACTTTGCTTTTCTTGTTCAGTTCCTGGATACACATCCCTCTCTTGTAATTCCACACTCTGGAGACCTAGCTGTTCATTGCAAACTGGGATAACAAGGTCAAAAATCTCTGCTTTTCCAGCTGGAAACACTGAGTGGAATCGTGAAGTAGGAGATATTGAAAGCTCTGAGCTATCTGTACAAGCAGAAGGCAAAAAGAAGATACAGGAGTGCTGGGTCTCGCAGCACTTTTCAATTTGCGCTTTAAATAACGTAGAACATCTGAATGAATCATGTTGGGAGTTCCATGTTTCATAATTCCCAATCCCTCCAAGCAGGAGGCTCATTGTGTGATCCCACTGGGGAATGTGCTGGTGCTGGGATTTGCAACATGCAGGCACAAACAACGATTTGAAGAGTAAGGCAGGGGCTGGAGGGAACCATGCCTATCTCTTCCAGTTTATCAGTGCTTATAGCACCCTTTGGCCATGCCAAAATCTCCAGATGTTTAGCGGACAATCTAGACAGCCAGGAAAGCTGCCGGCTGAGGAAGCAGCTTCAGTCCCTGCAGTATGAGAGTATACCTAAGGCTGAGCACAACTGGTGCGGAGTGTCTCCTGCGTTAAGCACATAAAATAACTCCAAGCAGTGTGTATAGCACAGCTAAAGTATTTTTCCTCCTGTACAGGACCTCATGCTGGATGTCACATGCTGTCTTTCTGGCCATTATAGTGTTTACTCTTTGTTTCCTTAGGGAGAAATCAAATCACTTGATCGATGTGTAGTTGCATGCAGCAGGGTCCATAACCATTCATGCTCAGGGCTCAGGCCTTGCCCACTAAATGCAGGAGGACAAACTTCCTGTGGTCTGTTTGGAAGCTTGCCTGTTCCAAGTCAGCCCAGTGAAATTTTTCACACCAGTTTTGTCTGCCAGAGTGAATTTGCAATCTGCTGTATCTCTGCTGTGCCCCTACTGGCATGTAAGGGCCTAGGGGTGGGTCTACCACACTATTAGCCCATAAAGGTAACTAAAGAAGGCAGCTGGTCTGCTCTCATTCTCTTCTGTCCCTCTGGACTGGTAAAAACATTGTGCCAACTTGTAGAGTAGGATAGTTCTTGACTGTGAGCTAATAAGAAGATTATAGCGTGGAGACATCAACATCCTCCCTGCCCTGGAACTTGGGTGCATTCACCCATGTGAAGAGACAAGCCCCTTGTAGGCTTGAGGAAGATTACCTCTCTCAATATCAGCCCCATGCCTTTAAAAGCCCCAGCAGTCCTTCAGCTGGGATGGTTAATGGTAACAATGCCAACAGCAGCAACAACAATGGAGTTTTAGCTATATCTGATGCGTGTTTGAAAGCGTGGGGGAAACCTGTGTATCACAAAAATGTATGAGAGATTTATAAACCAAAGGTAGCCTTCAAAATACTTGCCAACCGTTGGTGCCTCCCCTTCTGCTCTGACCTCTGGTCTTGCAGTAACTCACTTTCTCCTTCCCCTTCAGGGGCTCTGCTCATCATCACTGGCTATGTCTGAACAAGTGGTCTCTTCTCTGCCAAATTCCTCCAATGTTTCTTCTGTGAACCAAATCTGACTTTCATTTCTGCGAATATTTAGTACATATGTGATTAAATAATGAAATTTCTGCTCATAGGAACACTAAAGAGTCAGCACCAGGGAGAGGAGAAAAAACTACTCGAACCAGAGGACAATGTTGGACATGAATACATCCAGGCTGAAACCCCCCTGAAGGGACAAGTAGCAGGGGACTGGACTCCATGACCCTGAAGACCCTTTCTATCCTGACTTCCAAGTACCAGCATATGGGAGAGAAAGAGAAAGCAAGTGGGGGGAAGACACGCTTCTGTTTGCAATGGTCTGGAGTGTGTCTTTGCATTGTTTCATGGTTATCTGTTTGTTATGTTGCAAAGTCCAAGGGCACTGTGCGCTGAGCTGGAGTAATGCTGTGTGCAACTGTGGGAATTATGTCAGTGTCCTACTCTTCAACGGGCATGTTCTGGGTGTTGTTGAGAGCTGGACTTCAGGAGCTGTTTCCAGCTAGGAACAACATTCCTCCAGCCAACACTCTCATAAGGGCTGCCAGACACCCTTGTGTACAAAGATGGCAGCCATGCCCAGTTTCCCACGATGTACCAATAGCCATCCCATCCCACTTGTCCTGTTTCATCTGTTATCAAAACCCAATCCTGTACAGCTATTCAGTTGTGCCTGTGCCTTGTTTATTACTGCAAACCGTGGGCAGATGAACCAAGTAAGACTGGGGCTAGTACCATATGCCTCTGCTCTGGCCGATCCCCACAGTCAGGGGAGGAAACGTCCTCCCAGAAATCACAAGCCCCCATTTCCCACACCTTGGGCGACTGGGGCCTTGAGGTATATTTGCCACAGTCCTCTTGAGATGTTACCTTCTGCCCAGGTACATATAAAGGAAGGAGACATCAAGAATAGCACAGCCACTACCTCCATAAGGGATAGGCTGTAAAGATAAGTGTATAAGCATTAGTGAAATGTTCACTATATACCCAGTCTGCAAAGCAAGTAAAATACCTTAGGTTGAAAAAATAATGATACTACATAACAATCATCCCCCAGGGAGTTATTCTTGGCATAGACACCTAAAGCATTTGAGGTTTAATTACTTTATAATGCCAAATTAAAGAATATCTTGTAACAAATAATATGAAGTGGTATTTGAGAACAGAAAAAGTGTGGTTAAAAAAACTCTAGCAGAAGAGCTAAATTCCTATAGCTGAATCACATGGATTAGCTGAACAGTCCACTCTGAATTTAATCTGCTTTAGATTCAGAAGAATCTAAACCTAGGATGTATTCTGAATGCAGTTTGTGTTTCTCTGCATGTGCTCATTGCATTTATTCTCCTACTGCACAGTGTCACCAATTGTCATGCTTCAACAAGTATCTTCAACTCAGTGTTAGTCAGCCTTTAAGCAAAAGCCAACTGCTGGATTTTCTAAACTGCTCTTTTAGAAAATGCTACTTTTGCTGGTAGCTCTCCAACAATTTCACTGAGAAGGACAATGATGTTGTACAGGCTAATATCAAAAATTGAAAGATAGAGATCCTTTTTACATATCTACTTCTCTTTCTGTTTTGTGAAGTATATTGGGTCAGCATTCTGTGTCCACTTAGGTCAAGTACGAGTAATGAATGAGGACAATAGGCTTGCCAACAATGAAGGAAGCATCTCAAATAACTTTTGCATTTACATCACAGATTTTGAGTGGTATTCCAAAGTACCTGAACACTTTATCTGCCTTGATCTGCTGGGTGACACTGTTGACAATTCAAAATTACAAGTAAAAGAATAAAGACAGTTTAATAGGATAGTGCCAGGTTGTCCCTGATGACATGTCAATCCTTTGGGTCAAATTTTTCTTCCCTCACTCATATGGTACCAAAATAATGACAAAATTAGATGCTCATTTGTAAGACCTTTATTTATATAAATAATATGCACCATAGCAAACAAATATACAACACCATGTTTGCAAATTAATGCTTTGCAAAGAACTCTCATTGCTATTCCTGGTTGAAATTTCCAAGCTGAGAGTGCCTCAGGAGCCTGAAATTGCAGGAAGCTTGTGATGCACCCAGTTGTGACATCTCCTAGCAGGAGAAGGCACTGTGGGAGCAGGGCTCTCCACTGTCCTCCTGCAGCTGGCCTGTCACCAGAAGAGGTGTTCTGAGGAGCAACCGAGGAGCCTTCAGCCTTACCCAGAAAGAGGAACAGGATGGAGTAGAGAACTTGCAACCATTACAAAGGAAATGACAGAGCAAACCCAGAGTGTGGGACACACTAGCCTTGGCAAAGCCTAAATACGTTAGACTGCAGAGGACAATCCATCCCTAATTTACGTGGTGAGCAGTCACTTACTGGGAACCGCTATCTTCAGCTTGTACAGACTGTCCACCAGGTGCTAAGGGCGTCCCCTAGTGGAAACATAGTGATTGCCAGGCAGGAGGATAGTTTGATTTTTGCTGCTACAGAAGGTAGCAGGCTATTGAGTCTGCAGGCTATTGAGCTTTGCTTAAGCCAGGTGTTTTTTCTGGTCATTTCTCAATACAGTCACCAACTAGACATAGCTGGCCACATTACGGGCAGTAAAAGGTGATAAAACAGAAGACTGTGGGACTGTAAAGGTGCCTCCAGCAGAGGACAGTTGGATGGGGGGGGAGCATATTGCACATCTGATCTAGATGGAAATGCTTAGGGGTGAAATGTATTCCACACAGTGAGAGGAGTGGTGCTCTCACTCACTCTCATGTGAGAATCTGCTGGCTTCCAGTGAGGAAAGATGAGCTACCTGGGCTGTCCAGGACTGACTTCAATACTCTCAGCTGCGCTTCCCAGTAACTGGCCAACTTTGCTGTTAGCACATAGGCTATATCACTTCAATGGTGATGGTTTTTAACTTCCTATCCAGATTCAGAAGGACAAATAAACCATTTCAGAGGGGAGGACACAGAGCAGCTCAGTGTAGTGCAGCTCTAAGAGCCAAGAGACGTACTCCCTGAAGCCCTCATGAAACGTGTAGATCAGTGCAGTGCCAGTGAGAACACAGCCATACAAATGCCTT